ACAGGCGCTAGTCACACCTCGTGAAATGAAGGCGAAGAGGTACAGAAGAAGAGACACCGCAAGGCGTGTAGGAAATGTCGAAACGTTTAACATGATCCTACATTGTCGTGATTGTCGTCGCCGATGACATCCAATTGACGGATGCGTGACCGCCTCTGACTGCTCATTATTGCTATTTATCCTGCACGTCGGCATTATTAGATGTCACGGAGACACAGCGCGCCGTGCGTGTTGCATATTTCATGCGTTCGTGCGTCTGCAATCGGAAAGTTGGTTATGTTGCCATATTCGTCTTAATGTTATTTGATAAAACTTTTTTTTGCGAATAGTTTGTTTTTAGATGTACATTAATTTGTTGAATTATTGCAAAAATAGTTTATTAATGGCGCAAGTAAATTGAGCACGAACGAACATGATAAAATGTAATTTATAAAATATTGTCTTGCCAGCATAAATTAATAAATTAACATCGACGTAAATTATCATAGCTGCGAGCCATTGGAGCAAGACGATTTGCGGCGCGCCGTCAGACAGCTGGGAAATGGAAAACAAACAAAAAGTCAAGATTTAATTTTAATTCAATAACATTCATAGGAGCTAATAAAGATACTTCATTGAATGGTACAGACCAAGACCAACCAACTTAAAAAAATACACTGCTAATTGCGGTTAAGTTTTTTTGTAAAGGTATGCAACCCAATGTTCACAAAATGAATGTATGATGAACGTATGCTGAAAATATGGTTGAAAAAAATGTTTGTTGAAATAATGTAATAAATTATGCATTTGGTGGATCTATATAAAAATAAAAACTTTATGATTATTAAAAACCGTATAAATAAATCTTTACTCTTTAAAAAGTTTGAGACCGTTTCTATGCACATGCAGCATATATTTTAATAGTTTATGCACATTGTATATTTGTCTGTCTGCTCAAATCAGCAAATGAAGGAATCGGAGGTGGAAGTTGCTGCTGCTTTGCAATGCTCGATTGGCGCCAGCTAGGAATGCTAATTTTGTTATTGTAATAAGTAATAAGCCACCATCACACGACGCCGCCTTTATGCGCCGCGCGCGTTCGCCAATTTACGATGCAATTAGCATCCTGCTGTTGCTCACATACAAATGATACGATTATAAGTATTAAATCAAATGGACCTCAACTGACCACACTGTATACACACATTTACGATTAATATTCTATTAACGAAACTATTCGCGACTGTTTTTGTTTCTCCGCTTCTCGAATTCTGTGCAAATTACACGGTCATTACATGCGAACATAACGAAAACCATGTGGTAATTAAATTATCACTCGGCGCCCAATGAATAAAGATTAATCTTTATTCAAGCGCGCGGCGCGTATTCATTAATAATATAAATATATTACGCATTAATTACCACTGGGTTGACAACTAACTTGACAAACCACTATTAGTTGGTGTTGGCTGCAGGCCTGACGGATTTTTTCGCGATGACATTTTAACAAATTGCTAGAAATCATTAGAGTCGTGATTTTGCGAGGGCAGCTCGTGCAGGTTGCAAATCATATGGATTTATTCAATTATTACCTGCTGTATCTGATTGATCATTGAAATAAATCATTCGTCATGAATCATAACGCTTGAAAACATTGCAGGCATAAAAAGTAACGATGCCATTTAATATATCAAGAAAAACAGATTAGGTGCGAGCTACTCAGGTTTCAAAGATTCAATTATAACAAGTACCTACTTATATGAAGACATTGAATATTATACCTATAGTTAACTAAGTAAACAAAAGTAATAATTATAAATTGTAAAGTGTATTTATTCTTTTATGTAATTAAAGATGTTAAAATTATGATGTAATCGCGGCGCCACCTATTTGATAGCTGTCAGTTATTAGCTCAAATTCAGGTTATGTTAGTTATCACTTGTGAGCGTAAACAAGTTGTATGGTAAGTGCAGTACGATTATTGCTTTTGACTAACTCGCGAAGGTGGTTATGATAATTAACACCGTTTTTTTGAGTTATTGATTAGTCTCTGCTAGCCTGCACTGGTTTGTTTTTCTCGCGAGTTCTCTGCATTAATGCACAACTCAGCGACTAATCCGCGAGACATAACTACGTCATTAAAAGCGCAAACGTACGTCTTAATCGGATTATGTGCCTTAATTAATTGCTATTAGTCATTTCAACAATTGACAAACGACAATTACCAAGAATTGTCGCAATAAATTGCTAAAAAAAAAAAAAAGCGAAATCTATATTTTCGATTGACAAATATGGCGTTTTAGTTTCAACTGGTTGAAATGTAAAATTTTGCACATAACTTAGTTAATCCGTGTTTATTTAATGTTGTGTGATAATTCGAGACGTGAAACGTGAAAGTTATTGCATGCTACTTACTGGAAGCTGTTTAAGCATTAGATCGCATGCTGTGCTAGACACAGACTTGGAGCCGGCGAAATATTGCAACAACTGTGCAAATTATTATTAATAATCATAATCAATTGGGTAGTTACTTTGAGATGATTAGAAAGCATGCAGTATGTTTGTTTAGGAATATTTGCTAATTGTAGGAAATACTAAAAAAGTTATGTTTGGCTCTTTGGAAGTTATAGAATCGTAATTTTATTTCTCGAATGAAGCTGTTTGGGTAACTTATGAAGTAATGTAAACGTAACATCAGCAATGGTAATGTTTGTGCATTTGTGCATACATGTAGGTACTTTGTAAGAATCAGCATTATCGCATCGCGACGCGCAAAATCTCTCATTCTTCGGTGGAGTTAAGTGCTCTTTGAGGTGAGTCGAGAGGCGAGTTAAGCAGAGACCTTCGTTATCCTTCGTTAGGTCGAGCAGACCGTGAGTGCAAAGCGAGTAAAATGGCGACGAGTGCAAGTGCGTTTGCGATCCGCTGAAATCCTATCCGAGTCAGGGATCTAATGCCATAAGGCAGCACCACATATCTTGCAATATGAAGAAGTAAAAGAACTTTGACACGGCCTTGTACTTAAACCTAACCTCAGAGTCATTAATTAAAAATACACTTATAACATAACCTAGCATGAGTTGTTGGGTAAAAGTGTGAGTTCATTTGAACGCATTTGCTTCTTGAAATCTGGTTGTAAGTAAGTACTAATCCGTTCCGTTGGCGGTTCGTGCGAATCGAGCGTGCAATTAGGCGCCCCACCGCGCCAGCGAGTGCGCGTATCGCGGCGGTAATTACGCGGATTAGTGTCGTTGCCGATTCGCGCCCACCTTTCACAATAGGTTAATCCGGCGACACGCATCGATGACGCGCTTTGCTGCAATTCGTACGCTCAAAACGCATGGCGATTTGTCACTAGAACTTTTAATTTATAAGTGGTGCCATCTACTGGCAATAAATCTAACATAACTGTAATTTTTAGTTTAAATAAGTACTTCACATATGGAAAATTGTTTAACTCGGTTATTAATATGATATTAATAAAGTTTAGTAGAAATCCTGCTGTTTTAAACACTTGCCAAGCGTTTGAAATCCGAGTGTCCGCCGCTGTAGACATTTTACGACTGTGCGTTCGAAGTGGAAGTCGCAGAAAGATCGTAAACGCGCCTTCGCAGGCGCACATCCGCCTTATGAAAATCGCAAAATTATAAGCACATTAAGATATGTGTTAATTAAATGAGCGAGATACGCGTGCCGTTATGGCCGATTTCAATATCCCGCGCAAATTTCCACAACGATCGCTCGTAAAACAACACTTCGCCACTCAGCGTACTTACACTCGACTTAAGTCGACTTGGACATGTGAAACTTAACTGCGAAAATAAGTTGTGAACGTTGTAGCATATAAATTATACATTTATCGATTGTCCGATTGTCATATCGCGCCAAGAGTGTTATTATTTCTTAAAACTTTTGTTATGGCGGCTGAACTGCACACTACTACAATTGATTCTTTGAAAATCAATCGCTTTGCATACATCCAAGGTTACTATAAATTAACCACGCCAATAAACACACACCAAACGACGATCCGCGGCGGCAAAATGGCGTCCGGCTGACGCGGCTGCCGATTAGACAATCCGACAATCGCGCTAATGGCCGCCGCGGTCGTAAATTAACGGCGAATTATTGCCACCTTGATCAATTAAACGCACAACGGCACAACTCCTGCTGCTGCAAATCAATGCAAATTAATATCAATTAATTTACGATAAATAAATACAACTATTTGCGGGATTTATTGAATATCACAAGTGTTTACTCGCGGTGTGTAAATATTAATTATGCTCATGTTGCAAATGGCGTGCATACAAAATGGCTGAACGTAAAAACCAAGTGGAAACGTGTTTTTTGTTTATCTGTATACATTTTATATTACTTTGAATGATGATTACATTGATTACACCTTCTCCGGCTATTAAATCACTTGGAATTTACTAAAAACAATAAAATTTCTTAAAGTATTCAATTATTACACAATTTCCAACGTTTCTGATTCCAATCGTGTGTTTTTTAGCATTTTCATGTCTTTTTCATTCATGAATTCATGAATAAATTCGTTTGCGTCCGGTGTGAGATGTCGGCCATGTTGAAAAATGTGAAATTTATAATGTGCTGGAGCACAGCGTGTGGCGTCCGGACAAACTGCAGTGAAAATCAGATCTGTGTGTGCTCTTTGGCCAACGTCAACCCACACACTTCATCTTGACACATAATGATATTGCTTATTTTTAAATTCAAATATAAACACGACTTGTGCAGGTCGCGAACAACTTAATCCTAGAATGAAATCCATTTTCATCGGAATTGTATTCTGGACCCTGCGATCATTAATAGTATTTTCGTTTTCAAATTCATCAACAATTCATCGCATAGAACCTGAGGGGATGACGTTCAGCCGGAATTAAATATCAAAATATTTTTATTCCTGAAAATAATTGGTTTAATTGATTGTTTATATTTTGTTCATTCATTTGACGATGGAGTTGAGAGGTAATAAAAGCCCCGCCGTGATATTTCAGGACACATTGTCTCCCAAGCTGACGGACCTGCATAACATGATTTGGACCGGCGGCGGCGACTACGACTGATCCACAGTTTCCGTCCCCAGAAGAAGACCTCCGGAAGGCAGACGTCGTCAGCGGCTGTTTGTCTATAGGCGGGCGACGACGCAACATCGAGTGAGTGCGAGGGATAAGAGCGGATGCCATCTTACCCCTCGCACCCGACCAACCCTCACCCTGTCAGCGTCGTCTACTATGCAAATTGCACACTTTCTTCGAACCCTTATCGCGGTAAGCAAAACAATTTTTTTCTTTTACTAAAAATCATTTCTTTGGCTTGTTATTGCAAACATGAAAAAGATACCACACTTCGTGCCACAGCACGAATTGTGTCTTTATATGCATCTTCGTGAACGTGGAAGAGTCTGACCGCGAACGCAATAAATATCGCGATAAAGTCGGCCGCGATCGTATCTCAAAAACCGCCTCGCAACTCTCGCGCAATGATGTCTCTCGCCATTCAGGCAATTTTCTCTCCCGGACGAGCGTTTAGATCTTTACTCCTCGTTGCGTTCGCGATGCATTATTACACGCCTTCATCTGCGTTTGGTTGTCGGCTGTCCGGTGTCGAGCACAAGAAACGAAACCGAAAAAAAACGCACAACAAAAAGGGTCGGTAACGTATTAATCTGGGCAATAAAATACGGTTTAATAATTAAGGTGGAAGGATGCGCGTTGTGGTATCGCGGACAGCATCGGTCGTTTATAATCGCCCTGCGCTTGTATAAATACCATCGTGTCGTAACTTATAAATACGGTAGTGAAACTTAATATAACGTGCACTTTTTTTCAGCGTTGCGCGTACAGTTGCAATAAAATCTACATTTATATACCGAATGACAAAATGATAACGATTATAATATATGCTATGGTCAAGCGTGCAGGAATGTGGGCGATTTTCTTATGGCGATTTTCATTTCCTGGATAAGTTTCTTGAAATTGTTGAAATATTCAAAATTATAGGCGCACAGGTGGAGTTTTTGCCTTATTATAAAGGGATAACACTTGTCGACATGATTCTTTCCCATGTTTCACCCGATATAGATTCACCGACCGACGTGTCTAACAATCTAATTAAGGCGTCGTTTCTGCGTTTCTGATGCTTCGATCTTCGCGGCTGATTACGCGTTGTTAATGGACAAGTTTTCCGTAAAAAGTTCAAACGTTATGAAGTGACTATCCATATCCGTTTTGTTCCTCCGCGTCGTGTTTTTTCTTTATCAATGAACCGAGATATGCGGCGGCGATGCGTTTTACGGTCGCTCATTAAGCGCTCACATTGCGCTTCATTTTTCACGGCGGTCAGCCGACTTGACGAAATTATCGCGCGTTGAGATCTTGCTCCGAGAATGAACGGCGACGACGCGCCTGATTCTTGATCATGGGCGGTGTGAAATTTTATTTAAACACTTCTGACTATTATCTTTAACTTAGTTGAAACAAGTGACGCAAAAATATGAATGACTACACGACATGTCTGTTTAAAAGTATATTATTGTGAATAAAATGTGACTTACGTGCGTTTTATCACTTAACATATTTCTACATAGTTTTTCCACACTGTTAACGACCATAAACATCGAGTATTTGCATGCCGGGCATGTCGTAAACTCTTTTTTTGCCAACCGCAGAATAGGAGATAAAATTTACAATTTGCAATTTTCATGCGTGCTTTTGCGCAATTCAAGACCACCGCAATGTGAAGAAATAGTATAGGTGAATGATACTTTCGTTAGAAATAATTTACTTAAGAAAAAACTTGCGGCGCCAAATTTTATGAATGAACTGGTATAAAATGAAGTGTTTATTTTACGGTCTGTCATTAAACCTAGGCGCCACAGTTTTTTTGTTGCAAAATGTGTTTTTATTACGTAATGAAATTTCAGGTATAATTTTTGTTTTTGCTACCTGTACTTTGAATTTCAGTTTGCACTTAAGTTTACAACCCTTATTTATCTGATAAATCCACTAAAAGTATCCATTTTTAACTCGAGTAGGAAAAATCGAGTTAAAAAATCGTGGCCTAGGTCACGTATGAATTCTTCTAATGATTCGAACTTGTAACCTGATCGGTGTCTCGTTTTCTTCGACGTCCCAATGGTCATTGGTTTTTATTCGGTTGCGGCACGTTTCTGCGCAAACATACTCAACTTATCGTCAGTTGTTTAATATGAAGTTTTATTTTACCTACCACCTAACATACGTGAGTGCGACTGTTGCAAAAAGTAGCAACTTGTGTTAATGTTTAGCGAACTGTTTGATTTATTGCCGATTTTATCGATTTGTTATGGTTAGAAATTTATTTTCTTTTCTTTGTTCACAGGTGCTTAGCTTGGCCGCCGTCTTTTATCCAGCGGTTTGTCAACACGAACAACACTTCCATAACTACACACTCATCTCACACTCTAGACCCAGCATCGGATTGTATGAATGGTGAGTTTCAATGTTGCAAACGCCACCTGGTGTTGAATAGTTAAAAATTTGTTTAATGTTTGGTTAGGATTCGAACTGGATACGTGCCGTACGATCAAGGCATCCCACTCGAACACGCCGGCGAGCTACTGAGCCTGCGCGATAACCAAATGCTACTGCGGAAGGAGGCACACCAGGAGAATCGCACTTCGGTGGAGTGCTGTCCTTCGGTGCTGGAGATGACGGAGCCGCGCGGCGGCAAAAACCGCGACGATCAGATCGTCGAGTTGTACCATGACGGAAATATGACTCAACGTTTCTACGAGGTGTCCTGCCATGTGGACATCTTAGACAAACCGTGCCGGTTTATGGACAAGAAACTGCACGGCGAGTCGCGCTGTAAGCAGAACTACATGTTCACGTATGCGCTGGTAAAGGACCCAGTGCGCCACCATGGCCATCATCGTCGCGGCGGCGATCACTATGGTCACAATGGCAGTTGGACGATGGACTACATCAAGATACGCAGCGGATGCAGCTGCGTGGTGATACCGCCCACGATTAAGAAGGCCAAGAAACGCGACAAGTTTAAAAACCGCCGGCGGCATAAGGGCTACGACTAAGCACCGCAGCCTCTCCCACACCCCCAAAACGATAAGAGACGAGGAAAACGTAAATCAGTTCCACTATACCAAAGGAGTTTTTTATACATTTTATTTTTAGCTAGCTAAGCAATTAATTGACGAGACACAGCGAGGTTTAGATTACGTCTAGAGAGAATCATAGCTTAAGTGGAGGATATTTTTATTATATTTATTTTCGCGTATAATGTTTATACTTAATGTTTGTCTACGAGTAATTCATGTACAATTTATGTTAAAACTATTTGCTGATTTCCGTAAGATATTTTTGCGACTCTTTTACATTTGCTATTTTTTTTTTGAACATTTGTTACCAACTCCTGACAGTTTATTGAACATACTCAATGCTTTGCTTCAATTCTTGAACTACTATAAAACTCTTCATGTTGCGAAATATTATAGCTTTAAAACATAACTTACAACTCTTGTTCTATGTCTAAAAGTTTAAAAAAATACAGATACGTAAATCAAGTATAGATATAACGTGAAATTACACAGTTTAACTTCAAATTCCATACATAGGACAATTTTATTGTCGAATTTCAGTAAAACACCTACACATTTTGTTTTATTGAATAGTTACCTAGTGCACAGAATGACGAACTGACTAATTCTTAAGCGATAAATTATTATTATTAAAAAATTATACAAGCAACAAGAATAATCAATTATTATTCGTGTATGCTATAAAAATTAATCAAAAATATATATGACGCCAATTAACGAAAATGAAAAAATAACTTATAAAATAACAAGCATAACAAGCCCTAACTATAATATAGCCGTATGAGAATCAAATGTTGCCAAAATGGGCTTCTGCATGCCTTTGTATGATATTAATTTTGTATGTATTATGTGTAAGTTTATGTTTATTTGTAAAGTTTGTTCCACATTCACAGATTTTTGAAGCGCAATGTAAACATTACGTGTAGTGTCCATTTTTAATTATATAGCAAAACAAATCTTAACTGCTGTACAGAAAAATATATTTTAGCAAAAGCAATTATTGGTATTAATTTATATTCCTTATATAGATATAGGTATTTTCTAAACATAAACATACCGCATAAGACGGTATGAGGCCTTATGCTTAAAAGTTATATTGAACTTTTTGGTATTGATAGCGCCATCTAGGAGACAAACACTAAACTTATATAGCTCCAAGTGCAGAAATCTTTAAATACATGGAAGCCCCTGATTCAACTATTCGTTATTTATATTCACGAAGTATGGTTTATGCGATTTTGGTCAAATAACAAGGTTGAACTTTTTTCTTAAAATTTTCTCTTAATATGTAAACATTTTTAATTGAAATATTTAAGAGTAATATTCTTCTACCACTTATCTACCACTTAAAAAAATTTTTTTGACTCCAAAAAAAGCCTAGTGTAACTAATCTCTTGATCTTTTTGAGTGGTCGTAGGTCAACTTTGGAAAATGGAAAAACTAATACTTTAATATTATAGATCCATATCACGGCATGAACAAAATGAAGAAAGTTCTTTTATATCTTTGTTATTTTCAGAGAAAATTGCGGCGGAAAATTTTTTAGCCACATGATATATTTTAAATTTTTTAAATGTTATCTTATCAGGGATTTAATGCTGAACATCGGAGTGCTTTTGGTTTTTGTTTATTTCTATTAGTTCCTGACATAATTGATTCTTAATTCTCGACGCGGGTGCACATTTCACTTAATGAGATGTGAAGGAAAATTCTTTACTGCTATTAGGTGAAAAGTTGTTTAAATTTCATTATTAGAGCCCCTCTACAGAATGAGATAGTTCTCGATAATTAATTAAACTCTTTTAAATGTCAGGCGCCTCCGCCAATTTTTTCATAATTAATAATTATTTTACAATTTTTTATAATTATTGTCAATTAGAAATTCAAAATTCCAACTTTTTAATTTAATGTTTTGAATAGAAAATTTAGAGATAAAAATTGGATACTGTTGTTAAAAAAAAATTTAAGAAATGAGTTCAACCCTGTTATTCGATCAAAAAATTCAACCTTGTTCTTTGACAAAATTTAAAAAAAAATCGACCCTGTTCTTTGACCGAAAACAAAATTAACAAAAAAGTTTGACCCTGTTATTCAACCAAAAAATGATTTTTTTCGGACAAAAATAGCTATTTTTGCTTCTTAGGGTACTCCTGGAAGGGTTAGCGGGTTGGAAAGATATGGATCGCGTAAAAACACTCTGGAGCTTTAACATGGCGGTAAGAAACTTCAAAAAAATTAAATTGTTCTCGAGTTACAGGGTGTTTTCCACACTATGTTTCAAATTATTGTTTTTAAATGCGACTTCTTAAGTGCATTTTAAGGCACTTCTAATAAGGTTAGTGGGTTTGAAAGGTATACATTTTGTAGGGGGACTCTTGAACTTTAATATGGTGAAAAAACTTTATAAATATCAAGTAGTTCACAAGATACAGGGTGCTTTCTGCAGTGTTTATAATTTTTTTGAAAAATGCCAATTTTTAAAAGGAGTTTAAAGCACTTCCTGGAGGGGTAGAATACTTAAGATATATGAATCGCATTGGCGAACCCCTGAACCTTAAGATCGCAGTAAAGGTGTATTCCACATCATGGAAAATTATCATTGTTTTTGAAAAGCGTTTTAGGGTACCTACTTCCGAAGGGGCTAGAAAATATTAAAAAGATGCATTGTGTAGACCAAGTCCCTAACTTTACCATGTTGGTGACCAATTTTAAAGAATTGGATTAATTTACGATATACAGGGTTTTTTCCGCACCATGTACTTATTTTTTTCAAAAAATTTGTGGAAAATGCAAATTTTTAAAGAGTATTTTTGGGTATTTGCCAAAGGGTTATATAGTTAAAAGAATAGGCATCAAATAATGGGTTGATTTGATATACTGGATTAAAAGACTGCATTAATGTAGATTTCTTGGCGAGATACAAAAAATGTCTTTTAATTTGTTTTGATTTTTTTTAATTGCAATGTTTTAAAGACCGTTTGACCCTGTCTTTCGGCAGTAATTAACCAATAAAATACGCCAATATTTTTCAACAATATAAATATTATAAATATTATTTTAGCCAAATCCACTCTACCTTTTTATACTATTGTAGTATTTACTACCTATTATTGCCATGGAAATGGTTTCCATAGTTATTTATTGATGAAACACCGATTACCTGTCCATTGCGTTTTGGCTTTATTTTTGCTTCAAATAGTCGCCGAATCAAACGTCAAATAATTAAATTATGAGCCACTCTGCAGAATTACTGAATTGTGATAAACTTCACTTACCACCTTCCACAAAACATCAACTACAAAATGAAATAATTCCTGGAAAATGCAAGATGCAGAGTTTTAAATGTGACAAGCGCGACTGGCTTCTCCGTGATGGAGAAGAGAAGAATTTACACACTGAAAGAGTCTCGACCATGAAACGTAGTTTTGGTTATCCACAACCAGAGAAAATTGTCAAAGGTATGTAAGATTTCTTGCGATAAAACCTTTACAATTTAAAGTCATCTTAATATCCACATTCATTGATCTAAAGCTGTTTTTATTTTACGAGTCCTCGCACAGAAAGCAACATAAATTTGCAATAAAAAGTAAAATACTCCAAATAGTCAAAATAAAACGCTACCCCTATTCAACCCAAGCTAGATTGTGCCGTGCTGAAACATAGTAAAACCAGCTCTGAATTCAATGATTTCACAGCATAACGCCGACATCAAGCAAAATTGAAACATTGCGCTGAATATTCACACACAAAATGTGAGGAATGCTGCGTCGGTACATTTTTTATTTCTCCCCTTGCTCCTGCAAATCTCTAAATTCGCATAGGGGGGCGGGTGCTTCGAGCAGAAAAACGAACTTTATTTCAGTAATTTACTTTTAAAGTGGAATTCCGTGTCCTGTTGAGTTCGTGCTGTCCGAGGGGCGTTGAAGAAAGGCGCGAGGCAAGTGAAAAATGAAGGAAAGACGACTGACTGAGATGGCAAAAAATAAAACGATTGAATGACGGTTGATGGCTTAAGAAGCGTTTTGCTAACAACGTTAATGTCACAATCGGGATTACGAACAAATCTGCTAAATCCGCATAAATCTGGAAGTTTCCATTAAATACAGAGTAGGTTTCAAACTGTCAGTTTTCAACATTTCAAAAATTGACGTTCAACAATTAAGAAATAATTACACATTTAGGGAAACAAAGTATAACATTTATTTATAGATATGTTTTACAAGCGTGTACACTTTTCTAGTTTTCGAAGTACAATAGAATGCATAATGAAACAATAACCCTTTTGTTTCGTTGCCGGTGTTGCCTGCACGCGACTCGTAAATATTTCAATCGCATATTGATTACAATAGATTATTTGTACGGCAATCGAGTTGGGTTTTTATGGTCGATTAAGTGCGCCGCCCGTCATCCCCGCCGTCCTTCCAATTCCCACTCCTGACCGCTTTTGACGATCAGACTACGAAACGAATCGAGTCCCAAGCCTCGCGTTCAAACTCCCCGGCTCACGTCCGTTCGTGGACGATAAATATTTAAATAAAAATGTCCCGGGCCTCGCCAGCAATGCAAGAGCGCACCCTGGGGGTTTCGACTCCACCTCGATACTGAAAAACATGGAAACTCTACCAACTCGCATTCCAATCAATTTATTGTTTGTTTGCACTGCATGGAGAATTTTTATTGTTGGAAAAGTTGTGTGCAAAAACTAAACGTTCCGAACCATTACACACCTAAATCAAAAGTATTGGCTTGGGCGCGTGAGGGGTATTGAAAGTGAAGGGACAAAGGGAAAATGAATCCAAGCCCTAAAACTCGTGGGTCGATCTTCACGCAACATTGTGCACAACAAATATAGATGCGGCGTGTTTACTAACCGAAAAGTGTTTTGTTGTACTGCAAACGTGGGACGGCTTTACGCCTCTCTTCATTTTCTAATTATCAGCGACTTTAATCATCCGGGCTGTCGGACGCGCTAAACGCTTGAGGTCTGCTTCCTTCGATCATCGATCGCTTGCCGCTCAAGACCTTTAATAAAGTAATATTATATTATAGAACGTGTTACACTTTAAATACTACTCAACTTAATTACAAAACTTATTTTTTACTGTTAAATGGATAATTTATTATAAAATAAAGCAAAAGTACGCATGGTATGGATGGATAGTGATGGTGACTTTATGAGAGCGCAAAATATTATTAATTGCATGTTGTCAGAAGCACGTACCTCGGTTCAGAGCGGACGTTGGGCGGCCGTGCACGCAATCGATCGTTAATTTATATTAATTACCGTGCAAGCGAGCCAGCGTTTTAAAATTTTACAACAGTTGCGCTCGTGCTTTTCCGCGGCGCATACGTTACCAGACCGGAAGCGCGTCGGAGAGAACACCGACGCAAAACGAGCGCCGGGAGGCGGCGATACGCTGCGGCGTTTTCCGCTCGCAATCGCGGCAAACACGGAATTTCCACAATTTCCACCCTGGTCGCATGAAACCTCTCGACTCGCACGGTTTTATCACATTTTATTTTATTTAACATCGGTATCGATTTTCAATTAAGAGCGGTTCTTCATTTTTTTCTTGTTTCCGTTGTATGACAAGCGTGACAAAAATGGTGGAGGAAGAGATCATACTATGGCACTAGGAATTTTCTAAAAACAAAGTTTGTTTATTTTTAGGTTGTATTTTAAATAAACGTGTACAAAAATTTAAATACTGACGAGAAGCTACGAAATAAAATATCATGCTGAGTATTAATACCAGAATTTTATGAATTGAATAAAATAAAGTATTGCGAGAAAGCTTGAACAGGATAAATTCGTGTTGAAGGTATAAGAAAATAAATTTTACGTTTAGGATTTATGCGTGTTCTTCCTGATCGAAAATAATTGATCTGTAGAAAAAATTCAGGTCACATCGAAAGTGGGAAATGAAAATGAGTTCCGGTTGAGAAAGAGTGCGCGCGCGCTCGTTTGCACGTTTGGATATTTGCGTATTTTTTCTTTCTAGCCGGCATGTCTTTGTGATTTCCGCGCCATCCGCATTCCAATTTCCCCCAGGTTTGTCGCTGCATAATAAGACGAGTCCTCCTTCGGTGCTCTAATAGAAAACGCCGGTTTTGTCTCATCTTCGGAGCGGCAAGAAAAGAGCAGCGGCGGAACGGATTGCGAAAGAGCAAAAATCTTGGAGGCGGTTATTTCCTGGATGTTTAGCGATGTCATTTCGTCATGCTGTGCGGTTCCTGTAAAATCCAGCGCAAACAAACTTAAGTAAACTCGAGCAAACTCAGGACGTCGAAAAAAAAACGTAAATAAAATGATAAACTAGCTGGCAAAAAACCTAAAGCTGCTTAACACACTTAAAAAATTTATAACACTTCTTAGCATTATAAAGTTTGAGAATAAGATCTAGGTTAGGAAATTTAATATTATACAGTACCTGGTTTGTAAATAAAAGTTGTTTCTGTGTTGTTTCATTGATTGCCTTCATCAGAAAGTCAATAAAGTGCAGGTATCGTAAACTAAATAGTTATAAAGTAAGTTTCTCTGCGCTCACTTCAATGCAAACATATTTTCCAAGCCACTTTCATTCCTCTTACCTTACTTTGTTTCATTACCTAGATTCAGTTGCAGTATTTGATATTTACTTGAACTTAGTTTGGTTGTGATTTTATTCGAAGCTTTTTGACTCTTTTACTACTTCCGGCATAAAAAATAAAATCGATAAGTTATGAAAGAATAAAACTGGATTTATGTGAGTGCAATTTATGTCCGTCTTGGACCTAACGCCAAAAATGCGCGAAGATATGATGGGAGAACGAATGGTCACAAGGGAGAGAAAATAATCGCGTTTTATTTGCAGGCAGGCGCGCAGAGCTCCTGCTCGAGAAGATGCGACGCGAGGCCGAGGCCGAGGCGAGCGCCGAGTGCACCCCACAACCCAAGATCGAGAAGTACATCACCACCTACGACGACACCTACTGCCCCTCGGATCCTAATTTTGAAGCAAATCCACCGCCGCGGGCTCGGGAAGTAAGCTGATTTCCTTATTCTTATAAAACACAAATCTTTGTTATATTGCAAGCTAACAATGCGTTACGATGGATTTGTTTGTTTGTGACTGTTCCAAAAACAGATTCATCTAGAATTATACAGTCACAGAAAACAAACATATCGATTAAACACACAACGACTACATTTTATCAGCGTTGATCGGCATTTATTGTTTATTTCGTTGCCGTGTGCGCTCATCTGCTCATCTAAGCGACGCTAATAATAAATATTCGCCCCGCGGCCAGATTTAAACGCGACTTGGAATTGTTTGGCGCTTGGGTCGTTCGTGATTGCGACGACATTGTTAAATTTTTAATGGAATTCCCAAGTAGATCTAATTTTATATTATGCCGCCTACGAGTTTTGCCTGGCTTGCTATAGTCTATACCTACTCGCAATAATGTTTTATGTGCCCAGCGTCGCTTTTCCCATTCGGCAACATCAAAATTATATTGCGCAATCAAACTTTAATCGAATTAATGCATTCGCCATGCTTGACGATACTTACCACTTTTCGCTCAAAGTAGAGAACAACCTAAACTAGTGAATAGAAGGACTAATATACTGAGTACAACAAAATATATTCTGATATTTTAGTCTTCTTATACTCGAAAGTTCTATACTAGTGACTTTTGTTAACTTTTAGACAATAGTTTCGTTGTTTTCGTTTTTTTTTTACTTTTCATCATATCTAGAACAAAAATAGCCCCCAGATAATCATTCCTACAGTCGATGCATTTGAACAGCAAAATGCACTAAGTGTTGCCTACTTGTTTAAAATAACTTTTGAGCATATCTGCAGCTAAATTATTTTTTTCTTTTTTTACAAATGGTATACATTTCGCTATCGGAATAAAAATAAAATGCCTAAAATTAGCAGGTATCATTAATATGTTTCTCGGTCTGAAGGTCCTTGTGGAGGTGATGTAGGTTATGTTGCCACGACGACGAACGCGCACCTATGCGGCGGCACTAATGCTCTTTCCGATAACGATAACAACCCCGGCCATCTTTCCGTAAATAGTTAATGCCGCGCACCGGAGAACGATTTTCATCTCCGGCAAGTGGCGTATCTTATATTTCTAATCTAATAAGCGTTCACCCGTGAATCGTGATCACGCGTACGCCAGTCTGTCAATCAATATCAACTTCGTTTCGCTGCTGATATGAAACACAAGATGGCGGAATGCCATAACGAAACACATCTAAAAATAATCACTAAAACTACAAAAAATACGATATAAATAAGAAAATATTGCCCAGATTGAAATGATTCTAGTTGTATGAAAAATATCCGCTCTATGATAATCCAGCGAAGACTTATTGGAAGCAGCAGCATGAACGACACGTATCCGAACGCCCGCCAATTGGAGGCACCATGGTGACAGTGAACTTTAACAACCCCTTCAAGAAAAACTCACGCTTCAGTACTCCCTTGGAGGATCTCGTCGATGGTGGCCAAATTGATCGTTAACTGCTGCAAAAGTTTGCAAATATAATACAAATAACTATGCCAAAGTACATCGTTTATATTGTATTTTATTCATCATCATATTCATTATATACTTAAAATATTTGTATAATGTACAACTGCTTTATAATTTGTACCACACGTATATTTAATTTTTTTGGTTTAGTACGCTACCCCATAACGCATCAATATATTTTCATTAATATTCAAGTTTCATAGTGTTTGCCTGCCCACACATTGGGCATCAACTGATAATTACCCTAATCATCGGCCGATTTAATGATTCCATTGAAATCACCTTCCGCCCTATTTGCATTCGCTGCGATGGCTTTAATTAATATCGTTCATTTATTTATTCCGCAACTGATTTCTGCCGGATGAGTGTGCCCACACTCGTACGGTGGCCGAACGCAGAAATCATCCCCTAACGCTCGCACTCATATTCCGTTGTGATAATCATCTCATCGCAGTGACGTAAATACGGTAAACACATGCGTGCGTATTGGATTTTGCCCAGGACGTGGAATTAGGTTTCCATTAAACTTAAAATTAACTGAGCAAATGTGTAATCCATCATGGTTAAGCATTCAAACATCGAAATCGTGCTCGGAAAGTTTATCCAGATTTAGTTTTAGAATTTTGTTGATGTTGGCGCTTTCGTTTTATCTACGCAATAATTTTCGCTGTGTTTTGATTACCGTTTGGTTAGAATCCATCATCATTGTATATATTTCAGAGTTTTTAGTTACATATATATATATTTGCAATATATATATTTGATTAAATATTATACATGTCCAACAATCTATAAATATATCTTAATTTTCGTACCGATTTCATGTGTTTGTTTGTTTTGTTATCTTTGTCGCAATTTTCACCGATTTGTCATCTTAAATAATTATGTACATTACAACAATAGTATTAATTGATAATTTGACAGCTTATATACATTGATAAATTAACAAAATCAATAATTAAACCAATACAATTATTATTAAATATAATCCATATAGTTAGACGAGTGTTTAGTTCCTTAATTTTCACGTTCTGCTGTTTTTTGAGTTTTTCAACATGGTTTACATGGTGTGTGAGTTACACCTAGAGCCATTTCTCATGCATGAATTCACTGAAAGTATATTTAACGTGTTCTGGTAATATTTAGTCATAGTGTTAATAATTGATCGTACGTTAAGTTATCATCAAAGTTTAAACACTACACACATTTAGTTTTAATTATATGTCTAAGTGTCCCGCAAATGTTGGTTTCGATTTTTTTGTTAATTCCAATTAATTTGATTGATTATTTATTCTTTCATTAGTCTCAGTCCATCGCAGATCGCAGTAGCAGTAATCTCATTATTTTATTTTATTTTTCTCTTTGAATATTTACTAAAAGCTATTTATTGAAAGAATGAAATACAAACGTAAACAATGAGAAAACAAAATGTTTGGACGTAATTGTTTGTTTTGTTGCATTTCTTCTACTATCTTGGACGTAATTCATTTATTATAAATAACGCAAGTCCTTCTCTACATAAAAATACGTTTCATATGATAATTTGATTTGTTTCGAAATCCGTCGGTAAAGCAAAATCAGTAGACTGGATCGCACTGAATATACAAAAATATCATCCCCGGCGGAAACTATAGAAAACACCCTGCGCCCGAACCAAGCAGGTTTTCGGCCGAATCGCTCATGCATCGATCATATCAATACCCTTCGTATAATTATCGAGCAATCAGTAGAATGGCGATCACCACTATTCATCGCCTTCATCGACTTTGAGAAAGCATTCGACAGCCTGAACCACGACGCTTTATGGAGGATCCTTAAGTCGCGAGGTGTACCAACAAAGATAATAAGCATCCTGCAAGAACTCTACACTGATGCAAACTGCAGTGTGTTACACAACGGTGAAAAAGCGAAAGTTTTACGATACACAGAGGAGTAAAACAAGGATGTGTCATATCCCCATTACTATTTAACATCGCCTTAGACTACATACTAGCAAAGGTAGACCAGAACAGGGATGGGTTGCGCTGGACACTAACCTCGCACCTCAGCGACCTGGATTACGCCGACGACATCTGCCTGATGTCACATACGTTCGAAGGCGTGAGCCGACAGCTAACAACATTAGCAAGGGAGGCAAGTAAAATTGGCCTAAGAATAAATATTGCCAAAACAAAAGAAATGCGTATAAATACAAACAACACCTTAAAACTCCAAATAGATAATACGGAAATAGAAGAGGTCAAGGAATTCCTATATCTAGGAAGTATAATTGACATAAAAGGGGGGACCGACGCAGATATAAACAACAGAATAAAGAAAGCCCAGCAATCCTTCAGAATGCTGAGCACAGTATGGAAGTCAAGCGTCTATACACTAAGAACAAAACTGCGCATATTCCGCACAAATGTAAAATCCACCCTTTTATATGGATGCGAAACATGGAGGTCAACGAGCTCAAGCACACACAAACTCCAAACCTTCATAAACAAGTGCTTGAGAATGATCTTGCGCATATTCTGGCCAATGACAATCTCCAACGATGAGTTGCACCGTCGATGTGATGAAACTCCCATTATAAATCAAATACGCAAGAGAAAATGGGGGTGGATTGGGCACATCTTGAGAAGAGACGCCGGAGATATCGCCAGAAATGCGCTAGAATGGAACCCACAGGGGAAGAGAAGGGTTGGTAGACCGGCCAATACCTGGCGAAGATCCACAATAGAGGAGCTCCGAAACCAAAATATGGGCTGGAACGAAGCAAAGGCGGTTGCCCGAAACAGAGTCCGTTGGAGGGCGCTTAGTGAGGCTCTATGCTCCACATAGGAGCCAAGAACATTATATATATATATATATCATCCCCGACAATTATGTCAATATTTGTCGTGTTCGTTTCGGTCGCCGTGCTTTCGGTTGAATACTCAATTTCCGCCATTCATTCATATTTACACTATATACACGCTTATTCTTCGTAATTCATTAAATTTCTTTAAAATATTTAATACATTGTTACATTCAATTGTTGAAACATCCAAGTTTGATATCAGTATAGATTATAATATAATGTCACAAACATTTCAAACATACGCATGCGTATATATATTCATAATATTTGTAAAGGGATTAGGTACAGTAAGCGTTCGTTTATTAGAGTTATAAAAATATTCTAATTCCTTCCGAGTGCATTTTTTCCACAAATTTTTGTTTCAACTACGAATTGGTCAAGATTGTGCAGTTGCATCTAATGTAAAAGGTGTTTAGGAAAAAGCGTATCAAATGTATCAATATTTAAATTAATCGAAATAACATTCATCGAGATTTGGATACAAAATGAACGAAAATATGTGTATGTTGGCATTTGATATGTTTCAGTAAATAAATATTTGCATTTGGATAAGCTTAGTACGTAAATTTGTGTTAAATTTTACTGGTCGTTGATTAAATCGTTTAAAAAGCGTTTGGAGATTACTCGAAGGTTAAGAAAATACATAATTGTTTCAACTAGGATCATCTAATCATTTCGTATCTTTCCATTTGAAAACTATTCTGTTCATTCTTCAGCTAATTGACTAACAAAGCGATCGTTCACTCGTTTTAAGTTAGTCGTAATTCGAAAGGATTTTGGTTGCTTGGTTGCCATCGATATATTGTCAATCTCTTATGAAGTAAGTTTTATCTTTAAATATTATCTATTGTATCATTTGAATCAATTATAGTTAGTTACTTACGAATTTCTATTGTTTCGTATAATAGTTCTATTTTTAACTTTCTGAATAAAATTTGTGTTTTTGCTGTGTAAGATTTGAGTTTCTGAAGTAATATTTTAGTCCTTGTTGTGAGAGAGGAATTTTCATTATTCGTGCGTTTCAAGTGGCCGGCGATTAGTTAAATAGCTTTTCTTGGTAGTTTCTTTGTAGTTAACGCGCGACACAATGTCGCCTGCGCCATCGAGAGTCATTAGCGTTTTAATTACGTTCAGCTCGTTAATATGTTCACGACTATAATGGTCGCACTGAAATTGCCTCTATTTCATTGCGTCACTAAGAACTTAAAAAACCTTAACTGTCCTTTTAAAATATATTTTATTTTGGTTCTAATTTAGCTTTTCATATTTATTTTTTTCTTCCGCAGTTCGTAATTCCTGTTTTAATGTCGCTTGAAAAAAAACAATAGTAAAACTAGATAACTTGAATAAAATTTTAAAGTTCTGTGAAGTTTTCAAACTTTTAACGCTGTTTCGAACTTAAAACTTTAACTCTCCACACATTTCAGCGTTAGTTTGTTTAACACTTCACTCTGATAATAATAATTAATGTTTTTGTGGTCTAATTCTTGCGTTGTGCTCCAAAAAAGTTCATTTTTAGTTACGTTTTAGTCTCATTTTTTTAATCTTACGCATTTCATGTGATGTAAGTTGTAATTAAGCCAGAAGGAAATTACCAACATCAGCCTGGCCAAGAGCGCAAACACGCTAATTAATTACAATTAATGTTAATTAAGTTTTCTTAACTCAAGCAAGCATCAAACAAAAACTAAGCAGCGTAGTAAATGTGTTAAAACTTCAGTGTATGCTTTATGCTTCAATTAATATTTTACCGACTCAAACTCGATGAATTGTGAGAGCAGTTATCATTTAATTGATTCTGCACTCCAACAATGTAAATTTTCAAACCATTGTTCCTCTTACTGATTCGGAATGTTCGGCAACTGGTTTTAGTAACATGTATTTTTCCTATTTACACCTCGCTGTGTTTTGGCATCATATTTCATTCGTTCGTTTTTTTCTATGTCCACCAAACTCATAGAAAACTTACTTAACATCTATGATTATATACAACAATAAAATATTAGTGTAATTTAATTGTAGCCGTAGTCCCAAACAAACATATAACAAATATTATGTTTTCAACAAAGTTTGCCGCGAAATTAACACATTAATAAATTCGTGTGAATCCCCCAATTAACAAATAGTAAAACGCACCAACGCCCAACGTACCGGTGCAAATTAACAATCAACAACGAAAACAAGGCGTCGCGCGAGCGTAGGGCGCGAACGCGTTAAATGCTAAGTCGATTAGACAGATAAAACGCGCGTCGCTACGCTGGCGGCGACTGGGGGTGGCCATTACGGGCTCGGCATCGAGTCGGAGAGGACGTCCGACGGCGTGCCGTCGCTGGAGTTGATCGAGAAGGCCCGGTTGGGAGCGCGTCGTTGTCGCAGCACAGACGGGTCGAAGTTCGGATGGCGTCTCGCGTGCTTGCTGGAAAACAAATTACAATCGAGATATAATATAGACGTAGATAAAGCAGGAAGGCGGCGGGTGACACGACGGGATGTTAATTAATTGTCAACAAATCGGGATGGTAATTAATCCATGGAAACAAGATTAGGACATCGAAATAAGATATCAACATTCAAACAACACACAAAACTGTAGGCAACCAATCTATTTTCCAACTACTTCTTACTGTAAATTGCAGTGAATTAAGTTGCCTATATTAATGGAATTAAATTCCACTCAGAATTATATGACTCGATTTAACTTGATTTAGTTTGTCAACGTGATATGCACTGCATTCTGCGCACACGGATACATTACGAATATTTATTTCTTTGTTTGTTTCGTCGCTAGAAACGTCTTCCGGGTTTGCGCATTCCCTTGCCTACTGTCGCATAATTGTATTTACATTTTCCATTTTCGTTATTTTCCACGCTGGCTTGTTTATGCTCGGCGACGACCATTAAGTTAATAGAAAAAGCACGAAAAGCAATACGTCGGAAAGGTTCGCCCTAGACGGCAACAGGAAAATAATGTAAATAATGCGCGACGAGACATCAAGGCGATTTGTACTGTCGCGTAACGAGTGGATGATGGAAATGAGTTTTTCCACGCACCCTTTTCAAAACGCAAAGACTATTAATTATTACTTGGTTCAACTGATTTTCCTCTATAAATATTTTAATAGCTATCTAGTATTTATTTTTAGTTTTGCAGAAAAGCAAATTCTCTTAATAGAAAGCATTAAATAAATCATGCAAGTCTCTGCTGCTTCCTAGCTTGTTCCTTGGCTTTTTGTGTTCCGAAACTTTGTTCACCCGGGCGCCTAACCTGTTTCACCCTCAAAAGCAACAACGCCGGCAAGACATAGTAAATTAGTTGCAAAATTCTTTACGACGCCAAAATGAAAATAAGTATGACATCGAATAAATTATGCAAATTCGCAATAAACTTTACACACTTACCGCGCGACAACGGCGGGCTAAATTTAATATTAAACGTCGACTCGCGTCCGCCCCTTAAAATACGACCGACACAAAAAACGTTGTGATATAAAAATAACTTAAAAACAGTTTATTGTACTTATAATGCCCAAGCAATGCCTCATTTTAACTATTTTAAATTATATTAATGTTTTCTGAAATAGAGTGTTTATAAAAAATATCTATGAATGATTTTATTCTTATTTTTCATGTGAGTGAATATTGCTGGGAAAGTTTTGGTGAAGTTGTATTGTGCGCGTTGTGAGAGGCTGCGACACTCGTGGTTTATTGAATCTCTTATCATAATAGCGGCCGTTAGCGGTAAATGAGGTCTCATTATAATAAAATTGGAAAACATCCCTCCGTTTGGCGCGGGTAGACGCGCGACGCATCCGTCGCGTCGTTCAATTCCGCCCCCGCTATTTCATTCGCACACGGGGCGCGCAAAACCGACGCGACAGCCGGCACACATCAACCCATTTTTCCACGTCCTCACGTCTTGATATCTCTCAGCGCGCCTCGCGAACATCATGTACTCTTCGCTTTACTGCCGAACGAGGGATGCGTGAACACATTGCGCCTGGTGAACACATTCTTATTGAGATATTACACCATTCGGAAAGTATTACTGCAATTTTTCATCTTGTTTGCGGACGTATAAATAAAACTCAATGAACTAAGTGTTTGACTTCGGCTCTTATCGGCCGTGAAGTGGATGGAACTAAAGTTAGCATATCTCATAGGCCAATTAGTTCTGATTCCGGTACAGTGTTGCATAGTTGTAGAGTGGATTAAGTTTTCCTCGCATCGAATGCAAACTACTCAACAATATTGCGTTGTTATATTAAGAAGTGGTCTCAGACTCGTAAATCAAATATAATCTTATTACAAACCAACATCGGCAGCCAATTATACACGAATATTAATTATTTGGGAAAAAATGAGTGAAAAACTTGAATTCCTATATTCAACACCCTGTAGGTTATTTACTACAATATCGCTGCAAACCTAGATGACGTTTACAAGATGTAGTTCAATAGCTTCACTTGAAGAGCACGAGTAACCCGTTGAAGTCAGGTGGGAATTCGATAAATTACTTGGAAACTAAATTATACCTAAATGGAATCTATGAACTGAAACTCTGTGCATGTTCACTGCTCAACTTGATTCAGTCATGCAGAATCAAATACCGCATGAGCCAAGATACTTGCGAATTGTTTTGAAAAATGACGAAAATTTTATTGATTAATGGTGACTACAATTATTTTTTTAATCATCTCACATTGCAATTCACAATACCACAACTACTATATAAAGTTGTATTCGAATGTATGTATAATGCACAATAGTTGGCGAGTTAAAGCTGACGGTATGCAACATTCACCTCTTCAATAGAATTATGCAAATGCGCTAACGTGAAAACTATATTTGGATTAATGTCAAAATTCATTGGGATATTCGTACGCAAAAATAAAGTTAAACTAAATTTAAGCTTAAAAAAAGAAGAAAAAATGATTAGAACATAAAAGTATTGGAGGATTGTTCGCATTTCATCGCCAAGGCCAAGAAGGAATTAATTAAACGTCTCATTTTCTGAATACGTCTGCCACTCCTGCCTTGCTCATGCGCTCGAGCTGAGCTTTCCTCTCATTTTTCCGAATTTCATTCCCGTTCTCCGCCGTTCATTCACTTTTCCCTTTTCCCTTCCTGGCGCTAACATTATATTTCTATATTTCTGTTCCCCGTTTCTGCACCCCTCGCTTGTACTCATTTTCATTCTAGTGGCGTAGAAAGTGTAAGATACATATTTATGTCGTGGAATTTCCATTTCGGGCCCTTCTTTCACCCCTCGCCAATACAAGGTGATATATATTTTTTGTAAACGAATCGTATTATGCATGATCTGAGTTTTTTTTCCAGAAAGTTTTTTCACTGCGCTCGGTGTATAACATGCCGAGTAAAAACGAAGGGAAAGACGGAAGAAAAACGAAACCACTTTGTATTCTTCGGTTATGAGATCATCAAAAAGTAATATAAATATATCAGCGGCATACTAATGCGCGCGTTTTCGTTTGCCCGGCGCCTTCGCCATCGCCATAGCGGCATCGATAAGGAAATAAAGTTAAAATTAAACGAGATTATAGGCGGTAATTAAACGACCCGTCGGTGATGTCGTAAGATTACAACCCTGGACGTGTCATCGTCATAATTATACAGCGTGCTTAAATTATTAATCAAAGCATTAAAAATAAAATGCAAAAAATAATTACTCCGGAAAGTTTGATCATCAAAATGTTATAATTCCTGTAATCCGTCATTAAGAAACATGTCAAATTTGGAATTTTGCGCCAACAGATTAATTTTTAATTGAAAAATATGCAAATTGCCTGTCGGGCAACGAAGCTGGCAACATAAGCACCTACTGCACAATAAAACATTTTAATAGAATTTCGAGGCCGACACTCTGAAAGATATCCGCCGGCAATCTTCGTCACCCTCAAAACTCGCACCCACCCTTTTTATTACTTTAGGATTAAATTAATATAAAATCAATATTATAATAACTTTGCAATCAAAATAAAAAAAATAACAGAGCTCGCAATAAAAATTTTGTTTGGTTGAAAATGCGACCTGCTCAAAATTCCGACCACACCTACCATCAAACATAATTTCCTCTCGTTGTGCAAGTCTCACTGCGGACGAAAAGTTTTAATTGCGTGTAATTGTCACTGAGGAACTTTTTGCGGAAACCGGAAATAAGGAATGGAATTAATTACAATTAATCTTTATTAACACATCTGAGCGATGCTGAGAGGAAGACCGTGGTGAAGCACACAAAAAGTTGTTAGACTGAGGAAAAGTTGGCGGTAACTTTGTCGGGCCTCACCTCAGATGGTCGCTGCGCATGAACTTCTTGTTGCACACCGGGCACGCGAAGTTCTTCTCGCCGGTGTGCGTGCGTGTGTGTCGTGCCAGTTCGTCGGAGCGCGCGAATCGTTTGCCACATCCCTCCCAGCTGCACGGAAACGGTCGCTCGCCTGAAAAAAAAAGAAAAATATAAAACATCAGCTTCTAATTAAATTATTGAATATATTTATAAAATTTGCTCCGCCCACTTTACTAAATGTGTATGCGGCAGGTAATGTGGTTCCATCTACAGTGCAATTCTTTTTTTGAAAAAGCAATAAAGTTAAATTATTTTTTTTACGTTTCCGTTTTACATTTATAAAGGATTAACTTTGAGTTTTAATTAAGAAATGTTGGTACATTCTTGAGATAAGTGCGATAAATCAATTTATCAACGAATACTTTTGCTCTTTTTCATTTTAAACTTATCCTCTTAATGAGAATCGCACTCATTTAATTTATTCTCGAAGTCCGATCTATACTTTGTTAATTATTTAATTAATTAAATTAAAACGCTTTTTAAAAACAAGGTAAAAATTTGCGTCAGCACAAGGTTCTCGAATATTTGCATAGAATAAGGTTTCAGTTACATCGCGACGAGATTTTCGTTCGAAATTAATTAAATTTTAAATTGAGCGGAAACAACGCGCGGCAACGTGGCAAAGCAGAAAACTTTTCATAATGTAATAAAGACAATCTTGAATGTTACCATCTGATATTCCGTCCTCTTCAAGTTTCAGATTTAAGATTTTCTTAAGTATCAAATAAAAATTAGTTATCAATAAATCAATCTAACTTAATCTCGCATCGCTGCAACGCGCTGCAACTTGCATGTAGTGAACTAAGTGCTGCTGCTAATTAAGTATTGCGCGCGTAATTTAATTTACGTGCCGACGCAATGCCGCCGCCAATGTTCAAGCATCACTGTCGCTGCAATTTAATACACAACGTGTTTGAGATGCAAAGGAAGTCGCTGACAGCACGCAGTAACATTCATAAGGTAGCGGCGTACAAAGTAGGTACAAGTTCAAGAGATCCTTATATTTGAGGACGGAGAATATACTTCTGAAATTAAGCACAACATGAAAGTCTAAGACTAAACCCATATCAACACTATTCATTAAGCGCATTATAATTAATATTAGGTTAGGTCAAACATAAAACTTGATTTAATTACATGGAAGTTTACGAAATTGATCCGAACAACAATGTAAATTAAGTGCGTCTAGAAGTTTGTAATAATCTGCTTAGAGCTTGCACAGCACTTAATAGGAAACATTTAATAGTGAACTATAATTACGTAACTTCTTGTATCGTGTTACAATTTGTAACAATTATAGAATAATACATCCCCAAAGTGCTTGAGTCGTACAACATCGAGAAGTGAAAAATTGATTACAGTAACCATTTAAATGGTCATAGAACCCCGGTTGCTATGCAGAGAATATATCTTTGATAAGCTCTAACGAGCTATAATGTCGTCCTTTTACAAATTCAGTCCCGGTCTCAGTTTAGGGCTTTAGGACCTCGCATTGCTCATTTAGACAAACCGAGCAGGCTGGAACTCGTAATACGAACAAGGACTTATATTTGAAACCATGTCTAATTTCTTGACAAGACTGACACTGTCTTTGAAATATTAATCTGTTCAAGCACTGCCTAAAACACCGCCTAAATTGGACACATGAAAAATTATTTATTAACAAACAATCAAAATGTTTCAGAAATTATAACAACTTGAATGCTGTTAGAAATGTGTTAAAATGTTGTAAAACTGTAATAGTCAATCAGTTAAAACGAATTTTTAACTTAATTATTTGAAACTAATTTCAGTTAATAGAATTTAGCGATGAAACAAATTGAAAATAAATAAACGCAATAAACGTCTTCAAGATTTGATTTGTAACATTCTACCAGGAGAACAACAGGAGTGTGTTGGAAAGTTAGCGGCAATTGCATCAAATAAGTTCGTAACGTCATAAACGCGGCTTGGCCCAAAAGTGGCGATTGAATCAGACGTAACGAAATGACCATCGATGGAAATCGAAGTGGATGTCGCTTCCTGCCGCGCGCACACACCATTTCTATTCTTTTACGTCTTCGCTTTTTACTTTTCCGCTCGACTCGCTCGCCGAATCCGGGGCTATCCCGGCCGAAAAGCCTTAAATCAATAAAGTCTCGAACATGCTACTTTTCTACAAGTATACTCAGAAGATGCATCAAGAGGTGCAAAAGGAAGTCGCACTACCATAAATTAATTTTAAAGTTAAAGAGTAATATTTAATGCGCAACATAAATTAATTATTTATTTCAAATGAAATAATTATTTTTATTAAATATGCTCAGTATAATATATCTTAATATTTAAATTACTACACTATAAAAAGGTGTGTTAGTACTCGTGATATATAAGTACACTTAATTAATTCTTGAATGTTTCAAATAGTTCATATTGCGCACTTTTCATTTTAAAAATCTCAATTTATATTTTTGTTAATAGAAACAATGTCTTGGAAATTCTTTGTATTTTAAATCCACTCCTTTCAGCATTGAGCAACTCACATCAAACAAAAAGAAAGAACTTGAAAGTAAAATATGAGCAAAAAGCAGACAAGATGCTGCGAAATGTGAAGATGAAAGCAAAGTACGGTAGCTACTCTACTCCTCTTGTTCCAGAAAGACTATTCAGTACTTTTCCCACCGCCGTAGGGTGTTAACAAATGCATAGCAGTGCATCGCAAAAACTTATATACTATTTTCAATTTACATAAAAATCAGCTTACAAATCTGTAATTATATGCAATAGAAAGAAAGTTTAAATACTAATACACATAAAATTCAATTACATCCTTGGTATTTTATTAATATGCAGTGCTTTGCGTTCTTTTGATATAAAATATCATTACTGTGTGCGCTTTGCTTCAGATATAAGGATTTAAGCAAAGCATTGAAATCTTTATTATACACGTACGGTGCACGCGATAATCTCTTATGCATGCATTTATTATACGTTCGGCAAACGCAAAATAGGACGTGGGCGCGCAAAGCAGCTTTCGACGGTGCGGGCGTAGGTGGAGGCGCCGGGCGCGCCGAAAATAAATGGTTACATTGCGCGGGTATTATAAGAGATTTGTTGCGTAATTGCGGTTATGCGAAAAGTGGCCCTATGTGTGCGTTACATCCGGTTGATACCAATGTTACTCAAGTATGAATATGTAGGAATTTCATTGAATAAAATAAAATTCCTACTGATGCTGGAAAATGAATAAAAAATATTAATAAATTCGAGCGAGTAAAATATTTACCGTGAATGCATGCATGCATATTCGAAATATTTTATTTCTTTCTATTAAAGTATCCAACATGTAGGAAAATATAATTTTCATGCGCAAAATGTTTATGACGATACACATTTTATTTGGCAAATATTTTTTGCGTTTCCCTTTACGTAATTTATTATTATGACCGTCGTGGGATTAAAAAAAACTGTCAGAAATAAAGAAATAAACTCGCGTAAACGCTGGGGTAAAATAACTGCCCATTTCCACGAATATCATCGAATACTTCACATAAACGTGTGTGGTGGATATAAACTAAGTCATATTTACAACTCCCTTGTGGTTGTAAGAGAGGCAATTTTTGTTTGATCAATATTACAAATAAATTTAAAACGTTCGAAGCATTTCAACAAACAAAACGTGATTATTGCAGTGAATTTAATGTTTCAGGTGTTATTCTAAAGAGAAAAAGTTTTAGTCTATTCAAGAAACTTTTATATGAGTGCATTATATATTCAAATCGCGCAGGGTGAGACCATGAACAAAATTAGCAATAAACTGAAACGACGAGAGCCTGCGATAGATATAATGCTATTTAGTGGGCGCACTGTTCACTTTACGACATATTCCTCCCCCTATTGTCATATTTACGTTTATGTACATAGGATGATGATGATTGTGATAGTGCAAAGTGCCGCTGAAGATCTTTAGAATATTTAGTTTTTTTTTTACTATTTTTTTAAATTTCAGTTTAAAGCTTTAATAATGTTTTGTTCTCGCACGATCGAAACGACCCGATGCGACGAGATCCTAACACTCGGACGTTAAACCCTCGGAAAAGTAATTAACGGGAAATGTCCGCATAACAATTAAGTCAGTGCGGATCGCTGGCACAAAGAGCACCGACCAGTATCGTTGCCACCGTTGCCGCCACCGCCCGAGCATCAATATTTGCATTTCATCACACGGTCGATTTGTCGCCTTGGTCCTGAAGGTGCTAACTGCTTCACGACAGCCGTAAAATATTCATCGGTAGAGCAGCCTTTTGCACGTATAAAATCCCACCCTTATCAACGCACCATCAAAAAAAGTTAAAAACGTTTAATTAAAAATAAAATCAAATTTATAAAATTTTAATGTTGAATATAAATTAATAATAAATAAGGTTTATATTTATGAAGTTAATACATTTTTGCTTTTATGATTGCGTACTTTGATTTTGAATTATCAAAGATTTTCTTTTTCGTTTGAGACCACCTGTTAGTACTAAAAGCTCAACACGACGCTCCACTTTCAACCATTTTGTTTACTTTTACGGACGTTAAAAGGAAAAAAAAGAGTTAGTGTTTGGAGGAGCGGTCGATGCGGCACAGGTTCCTGGGATTCCTTCCGTGCTCACGATTGTCCCTCGTACGTTCATGTCGAAGTTAGACGAGTTAGTCTTTGGTTTTACTACCGCGCGCATAAAATCCACGTGGAAGCAGCAGACGAAAAAATATACGTCCATGAAAGAACATACGTCTGTTCATCGATCGGCGGAATTGAATTAGCGCGACGTGCTCTTATTATATCTCGATCCAATTTATCTCATTTTCATTTAATCCTGATATCAAATTATTTAATTAGAATTACAAGTGGTATTTCCTTACTCGTTGCCTTGTACTTATTTATACATCAATATCCGTAGGCAGAACACAGTACATTTTTGGTACAACATTTGTTCAAAGACAAATTTTAGCCAAATTTAAGGTTATTAATTTAACATTCAATACATAACCTAAAAAAATTGCTGCCGATGTAAGCGGAAACCTTGAAACGCATAGCAATGGACGGTAATTGAGCCGAGGAAATCA